TACATGAAGCACCGTAGGCTACTCACCTGCCTGGGGAACGTGGCAATCTATGGGGAGCCAAGGCAAATATTACACCCCATTTCCCCCAATGGGAGATTTGGGGCCTTTAGTTGGGAAGAGTAAAAAAATGCTCCTGTGTGGAACTGCATGTGCAGAAGGATTTCACCCAGGCCAGGGCTCTCAGCAAGGGACTAGTTTAAAACAACACAAAATGTGGTAGGGAAAGAGCCATCCAGACACCCTGCTTGGGAGGGTTTCTGTATACAAACAAGTATATGGCATTACACGTGGGGACTCATGCTGGCTTCCCATGGAGAACAAAGCAGGTGAACACAATAAAATGAAGCCTTCCAGGAAGGGAGGGGGGATCTTTCTAATTACCCAGGTGGGTTTTTATTGTAACGGAGCCAGCAAGGCAGGATTTGACGCTGGGGGTCTGAATGTATCACTTGCTAAGAACAATATAGCCAATGTTGTTTTTATCCAGCTTTCCACCACCCGGGTGCACGTGTTGGGCTGGTTTTATGGATACCTCGCTGGAAATGCTAGAGCCCTGACCACACTAGTGCTTGTTAGCTGCACCAGTGCTGAAGCAAAGATACTGGATTTTCTAATGGGCCTGGAGACATAGCCAGCTAGATTGCACGGAGGCCATGGTAGTGGTTGCAGGGCTGGTATTGCTTCTGCCACATGTTTCACAGGTGTTCCTCAGGGTCTAATGGCTACAATGACCTGGGACTAGATTCTACTCCCAGCTGTGTGGCTTTCTCCCAGCCTGTAGTTTGTCTTGTCTATTCAGTTTGTAAGCTCTTCAGGGCAGGGACTGTGTGTAGTTAAGCAATTATCACAAAGGAACTCTTGTCTTGGTTGGGACCTCTAAGTGCTACTGCAATATAAATATGAACAGAGCATTAGCCTTCTCCCAGTCTCTAGTGCTGGGTGAATTCTCCACACTGTCCACTATCTGACGAAAACATCTCCAGTTCACCTGTCCCAGAAACTACTGTGCCATCAGCCTCCAGTTAAACTGCATGGTCAGCTTAATTCAGGACCAACAATTAGACTTTTGGAAACACGAGTTAAAAATCCTAATATGAACAGAAACATCTTCATTAATATTTCAGAGAAAAACACTATTGTTCCAGTCAATACAGCCCTTTCAGCTGAGCCTGACGTTACGGTCATCTCCCTGATAAGAATTATCCTCACTTAGAGATGGGTTCAAGACACAGCCATGTGTAGATGGATCCAGATTTCATACACACTGGAATCCAGAACACAGGCTGTTTTCTACAGCCCATTATAAAGATAGGAGCTATTTGCAAACTACATATTGGGATTCAGATTTTGAATACCTCTGATTGCAGGTGTGTTTGGGTCTTGATTTTGGTTCAGGCCCATCTCTTCAAGACCTCCGACACCTTCTCCTCCTCTCCCCCATCCTCCCCACATCCACTCCCTCCATGCACTTTTCCACACTTAATATACAGTTTGTAAAATTATTGTTCAAAGAGGAAACAAAATTGGGTTAACCTGACAGTGACACCATGCCGGATAGTGGCTCCAATTCTCCTTTTTCTTTATTTAACCGTAGGGCCCCAAATTCTGCTATCACACATGTGAAAGCCCAAATGATCAAAATGCTAATCCAGTACAAGATGCTGAGTTTACTTTCCAGTCCAGCTGGACCAGCTATGACCCAGCAGATCTGAACCCAGATCCCAACCCAAACACCAGTGTTTCCGCAATAGGAGTGTGTCTATCTTAACAAAAACAACGTGGGGAGCTCATACAAACAACCCTTTCATGGTTGCGCAGGATTCCACCTATCGGATTTCTGAAATGTGGCCTTTAGGTTCCTGGTGAAAGACAAAAAAATTGCAATGAAATGCAATCTCACAAAATATACCCATGATCTGGGTGACAAAGCACACACTAAAGTCAATAGGGCACACAGGCATAAGTACAGGCTGCATGTTTAATGAATGTCACAGCTGGTAGGGACGGTGTCCATATACTTCATTACACTGATTATCTCCTGTGCCAAGGGCTGTGAAAAGCCCAGACCATGAGTGGATTAACAAACCAAAACAGTAAAAAAAACCAGAAACACCATATTAACATTTTATCAGTAAAGCCAACAGAATTCAGCTGAAACTCGACAATATCTACCAAACCACAGTGTTCTCTGGATCAATTGTTTCCAGTGATACCTGACACCAATATGAACCTTACTTGGTTTCATTGCAAACTTGAAACTGAGACTCAAGATTGGTTCTCGGCGTCCTGCTACCCAACATAATGGACGGACGTTTGCCAGTTTATCAACCCACAATCACCCAGACCACATTAGACACTGAACATTTTGCTCCACCCAATTGGTGGCTTGTCGCTTTAGGCTCTGCTCAGACTGGGCATGTCAAAAGGTTCATCCAACCTCTTCAAGTGAAAATGGGTTTTGATATAAAACAAGGTGAAAGTAACCGAGTTTTGCTTTGAGAGACGAGGTGGGTGAGGTAATACCTTTTATTGGATCACCTTGTCTCGCTAATATCCTGGTACTGAGACAGCTACAACACTATTTCATACGACTTTTGCTTTGAGATTTTAGGTTTATCTGAAGCTAAAACTCAAAGCAGATTTCTGGGTGATGCCAAAACCAGGCAGATCAAATGGTCAGTGTTCACACAGGTGTTAGTGAACTTCACCCATGCATGAGACTTAGGGATTTAGTGATTAGAGCACTAAGCTTAGTTTCAAAATACCTGTGTCCAGTGGAGCTTTGTCACTGATTCATTGTGTGACCTTTTGCAAGTCATTCCACCGCTCCCTGCCTTGGTTTCCCCACCTGTAAAATGGAAATAATTCTAGTTACCCTCCTTTGCTTTGAGATCCATGGATGAAAAGCTTGAGAAGTGCAAAGTATTATTGTTACTATAAATATCTGGAGAAATCTCTCATGCCAGTCAAGTGACTCGAGCTCTGTTCACTTTTACACTGGAGGTAGGATAGGGAGAATTCTACAAAAATGTGAATATTTCAGTTCTACCCAGTTATGGCTTCATAGTCTTATTCTTGCCCGGAACACACACTGGGGCAGGTTCTGCTTTCAGCTATGCTGCTGTAAATGGAGAATAATTAATTGGAGCTGGCAGGCTGGTAAGAACATGTTCTCTTGTTTGTCAACAATAGGGTGATCAGACAGCAAGTGTGAAAAATCGGGACGGGGGTGGGGGTAATAGGAGCCCATATAAAAAAAAGCCCCAAATATTGGGACTGTCCCTATAAAATTGGGACATCTGGTCACCCTAGTCAACAACCAGCATAGGTGATAAAAGTTATAGGAGATTAAGATCCATGTGTTTTTAAGAGTAGACGGTGTTATTAATATCCCAGGCAGGCAAGGAAATGTGTGGTTTGAATGTAGGATTTTTAACCTGACAGAGACCCCGTCAAATAACACAATCTCCCCCAGAAGAGTGCCCCTCCCCTAAAAGCTATTTTTCTATCACATGGTTAGGAGGATCAAGTATGAATTGAGGTAACTGACGCTCCAAAATCTTTGAGTTGCACAATCTCTCTCAGATAATGAACACTAACATGCCTGCATAGATAGTGGCAGTAAAAACAAGAAAAGGCAGCTGGATATAAAAATGCATCATATAATCCAAGCTATTATACCTGTGCTTAAATGACTGAGTTTCTCTAAATACGCTAGCGACACTTTAGTCTTAATACATTGCCCTTCTGCAGCTCTGTACGAGGAAGACGTCATTTCAGGATGTTAATAGTTAAGATGTTAACTCAGCCCCAGTTTTGTCATCCCCACAGGAATACACTAGGGCTGTGAACGCTCTGGGCTCGGGAAGAGGTATTTTTATTTTGCATTCGTTACATTCTCACCAACCTACAGTTTTAATCCTCAAATTGCAAAATTGTTGTTTGCAGCTTTGCTACACTGGCTCCAGGTCTCCCTTACACATGACCTAGGGTGATAAGTTTCTTCTGTTGCTTGCTAATAAACCTGGAGCCGAGAGATAGAAATGATCTTTTCCTTCTGCTTTCCAAAGGAGCAGGGAGCTGACCCATATTTGTAGTTGTGGGTGTGTGACACTTACAGACACAGTGAGATGCAATTGGGTATATTTTTGCTAAGTGTTTCATAGATATAAGGCAGCCTAACTAATCCATTGCAATTCTATGGTGCCTTTCATTTGAAGATCACCAAGTACTTGGCACACATTTAGTTATTAAACCAACAACATACCCTAGAGGTAGCTAATCATCATAACCTCCATTTTATACATGGGGAACACTAAAGAAGAGAGAGAGGCTAAATGACTTGCCCATAGATACACAGTAATTCAGTGGCAGACCCAGGAATAGAACCCCAGAGTACCTATTAACAAAGGCCTGCTGTCACCAATAGACATCACTCCAGCCTTGACACTATTGGTTTTTGATGCCTTTAACAATATTGCCCATACCTATATCCAGGACCGGATCCTTGGGACGGATTCTCCTCTCTCAAATATTGGCTGTATACTGGTGTAACTCTTTTAACGACAGTGAATTACTCCCCCCTTACACCCACGTAGGTGAGAAGACACTCCGGCTCCTCCAGTCCTGGGCTGATGGATACCTGTGAGGCTCACACATCTGAAGCCAGCAGTGTGGTGAACTTTACTGTGCAGAACTTGCTTCTCCCTGAAAACTGTCCTCATATTAAAAAAAAAAGTGTGTCGCATATGGGGATATAGGCACGGAGCAAACCTCTCACCGACTCTTCGCACAGGGCTCTCAGGCTGCAGAAATGTAAATGAGTGAGATTTCCAAACATCCTGGAGGGATGAAATGCCATTTTTGCAGCATCTGGTTGCCCTTATGGAACACAAATTCTTTAATCGATGAAAGTGCGTGTGTGTGTGTGGGGGGGGGGGCGAGGGGATCTGCCTTTAAATAAATCCCTTCAAATCCAGGAGATCCAGCCCAACAGATCTTAATAAAACTGGCACTGAATGCTTCAGGAAATTCTCCTAGCAAGGAGCACTAAGCTAGTGGGGGAACTCTAGAAATGTGGTTGTTATTTGAGAGGAGCCCGGGAAGGGAGCCCCTGTGCAGAGGCAAAGTATCATGAAGAAGGCAAGTGGACCTTAGCTAGAGGGAGACAGGGAGAGATGAATGCTGGTGTGTTTAACAGAATGAAAGGTTGCCCATTGTTAGGGAAGTTTACTCTCCTTGAGAATCATCCCAGGCTCTGGGTGACAACTGCTCCTGGGCTTTTGAAGTGCAGCTTTAGGCGTTTCCTTTGCTATCTTGTCACGCATTGGATCAGAGGTTTCTTTACCACATAGGGTCATTGGGTAGCAAATGAATAGGGGGTATTGGCCATTCAGAACTTCACCTTATAAATATCCGCGATTTGGATTCTTTTCACTTTCCTTGTCCTGAGTATCCCCCCTTTGGGTGTGGAGAGAAGCAGAGCTGCCCTGCTCAGTCAACCATCGCTGGTGCGGAGAGCTGTAGATCAGCGAGTGGAATAAAACTTCACCCTAGCTGACAGCCATGAAGAGCAACACCTTCATCATCTTCACCAGCATTGGGATCTATTGTGCTATTTTCCACACGTCAGCATGGTAGGGGCTCAGCCCAGCTGAACGAGGACATTTTGGTGTTGCTTCTGAGTCTGTGTTAAATTATCTCACTTATCCTGTTTTATTTGCTACAGGTCTGTGAACAACTTTCTGATGACTGGACCAAAGGTAATTTATACATGGATTATTATGAATTTAATTATAGATTTTTCCTGTTAGCGAACCAAATGTTGCCTTTCTAAGGAACCACATTTACTGATGTGCATATGGGCACCAGCTCCCTCTGTGTAATGAGGGGAAACAGTTGAAACCCATTTGCATTTGCTTTCAAGTGGCCTTTTGAAAGGTTTGGGAGTTTCAGACCCATTCTTTTTCTATGCAAGGCGTATCTGACCTACTCCACCAGCGTGGCTGTGGGGGCCCATAGCGGGATTGAAGAATGTAAACACCAGTTCACCTGGGAGCGCTGGAACTGCCCAGAAAGTGCCCTGCAACTCTCCACTCATAACAGACTGCGGAGTGGTAAGTGTATATTTAGAGGCAGAGCATGGATTTACCTACAGCTCCTTCCTTTCCTTCCTGCCATCTCTGTGTATGGGATACAGCCCGTTTCTATTTAGGTAGGATCTAGATTATATAGATACATATATTAGGATGACAGCAAATTTTGGAGCGGGGAGGGAGGGAGGCTCAACAGACAGATAAACTGCAGACACAGCCTCACACTAAGAGCTTGCTTGTTTACATGAGAAAGTTGCACCAGTTTAACCTCAGGTGTGACTTTAAACCCAAATTAGTTCAACAAATGAACACATGCACACACACACACACACTTACTTCGGCTTAAGAGTGGCTTCTTGCAGTTTAGCCTCTATGATGGGAGCAGGTTTAAGATGAAATGAAACTTCTTAAAGTGAAATTAAAAAGTGTGTCCAGAGAGGAGTTTGCATGAGTTTAAAAACTGATTTAAGTTAAACTGATGCAACTTTACTGTGTAGAGAAGACCAAGCAGCAGCCCGCCACCAAATCAGAAAACAGACAGGGACAGAAAGCTGCTACAGAGTAACCCTGATTGGATATCAAGAGAAGTCAGTGATAATTGATCTTGGTGTTAGGATCAGGCCTGTTATATAAAATCTCACTGTCGCCATGAAACTCTTTTCCATACGTAAATACACACAAGGTGACACTTTGTCATACCAGTAACCGTTGTTGGAACTGAAACAAAGCTGGCAGAAGACAGAATTCACAAGGACTTTGCCATGTTCTCTGGAGGGTTTAATTCCCGCACCACTCTATCTTTTGTCCTAATTGCCTTATGCAAAGACTTCCCCCCAGCAATTGCTCTGTTGGAAGCTCCACAAGGGGGCCTTCTTACCAGTAAAATGAGACTGAGGGTTTCTGTTCTTGAGGGTGACAGAATCTCTTTTCCGTCTCTTTCCAGCTACCAGAGAAACCTCTTTTGTTCATGCCATCAGCTCGGCTGGAGTAATGTACACGCTCACCAGAAACTGCAGCATGGGAGACTTTGACAACTGTGGCTGTGACGATTCAAGGAATGGCCGTGTAGGTGAGCTGTGATTTTACTGGTCTAGTACCCTGGTCTGCTTTTGGCATCACAGTTTTCAAACTTGGAAAAAGTGTAGGGCTACATTCAACTCTGTTCCAACTGTGCAGCCCCATTGACTTCCTTGTAACAGAGTGAGAAATTGGCTCAAAGGACCGTTCCTGCTTTTAACATTCGTAAGAATTACACATTGAAATGATTCCGTGGTTCTTCTCATCCAGCTAACTCCCCGCCAGTGCAGGAATGGCTCCTCCAACATGTCTCCTAGAGCTCTGGGTTTACATATTGTACTGAAATCCACCTACGCCCTGAGCTTCTGCACATAGTTATTATTTGTGAACGATGCGTCCTTTCCTAGGTGGCCGAGGATGGGTCTGGGGAGGCTGCAGTGATAATGTGGAATTTGGCGAGAGAATTTCCAAACTATTTGTGGATGCTTTGGAGACAGGACAAGATGCCAGAGCTTTAATGAATCTGCATAACAATGAAGCAGGGAGACTTGTAAGTAAAAAAAAAAGGTTGTCTGTATCCAAAATATCTTCATAATCAGCACATCTACAAAGCTTTAAGGCCCCATTCTCCAACCCTGAGTTATCCCATTGACTTGCTTGCATGAATAAGTACTACTGCACGTGCATAAGGAGTAAGGATTTTGGAATCAGGCCTTAAAATCTGGACATCAGAAAATTATTGCACTAGGCTTCACTTGCACTTCAGTTCAAAGCAAAGCCAACAGCCAATATAGTGACATGCACCATTTCTCAAGAATTGTGAAACCTAGTCTTTGGAGTCCTGTAGCTAGTAAGCACTCGTTCAGACAGTAAAATAGAGCAAACCCTATTCTCATCTCTTGTCATGTGCAGCTCAAGGCCTTCTTTAGGGGAGGAAATGTTGTCTGTTGGTTAGAGCAGGATAGCAGGAGCCAAGCGATTTAGATTCTAATCTTGGCTCTGACAGTGGGTCCCTGGGCAAGTCACTTAATCTTTCTGTGCCCCAGTTTCCCTAGCTGTACAATGAGGATGACAACATTCAGCATACCTAGTTCACAGGCTATATCAAAGCCTAACAATCTGACATAGATACTACAGTGTTGGCACCCTATAATTATCATAGAGAGGGATTGGTAGATGTTATTGGTGAAGTGCTTGGATTAAAGGTGCTACATAAATACTTAGTATTATTCTGTATCTAAGATTATTTCATATCTTCTGCGTGGACGGTGCTGGTTTGACAGCTCCGCAAATGAAGTTATCCACAGATCTGGGACAGCCCAGGTAATAGCATTACCTTGCCAATTTGCTTCACAAGAGGCCTGGAGAGACTCCACCTGTGGGGGTAAAGTAGCTCATGCCCATTGAATGTTAACATCTCTGCCAGCTCCCAGTTAGCCAAGGAACATATGTCCATCAGGAGCTGGACTGAGAGCACCAGTTCATTTCACATGGGCCACTACACAGTAATGACTTTCAGCCCCAACCAGCATGAGCTGGATTAGAACTGATGACTGAGAGATGAGCAACCCCTTATGCCACTATCTGAGGTTTTATTGCAACAGATCCTGTTTGTGCTGCGGTTTTCTGCTGTTCCTAACTGCTCTGCCTTTTCATCCCAGGCTGTGAAAGCAACAATGAAGAGGACGTGTAAGTGCCACGGGGTATCGGGCAGCTGCAGCATCCAGACCTGCTGGCTCCAGCTTGCTGAGTTTCGAGAAATTGGGAATTATCTGAAGCTCAAATATGACCAGGCCCAGAAGCTGGAGATGGACAAGAGGAGGATGAGAGCTGGGAATAGTGCCGACAGCCGTGGGGCCACAGCAGAGACCTTCAGCACTGTGCTAGCCACAGAACTCGTCTTCCTGGAAGACTCTCCTGATTACTGCGTCAGGAATGCCAGTCTGGGCCTCCATGGCACCGAGGGGCGGGAATGCCTGCAGAGTGGCAAGAACTTGTCTCAGTGGGAGAGGAGGAGTTGCAGGAGGCTCTGCACTGAGTGCGGCCTGAAAGTGGAGGAGAAGAGGACTGAGATTGTCACCAGCTGCAATTGCAAGTTCCACTGGTGCTGCATGGTGAAATGCCAGCAGTGCAAACAGGTGGTTACCAAGCATTACTGCTCCAGAAGAGATGGCTCGTCCCCCAACACCACCAGGCGGCGGAACAGGGGGCACAAGAGATAATCGGCAACTCGCTGCTGTTAACAAATGGACTCATGACAAAGAGCTGCCCTTCCAAATAAGTGGGGATTGTCCAGGCAGGGTCAGGTGGGTGTACTCCACACAACCGATGTTGTGTGATTACACGGAGCAGGCCAAGGGCCCTAGTGGACCTAGTGCCTACTTTCCTGGTTTTTATATTTCCTTGTAACACGCTTCTTCCTCATAGTCACTGTATTTGTGTATCTGGATAAAGAAGTAGTTTCATTTTTTGGTGATATCAGATGATAGTCTGTGGGCCTGATTCAGCTGTCATTTAACCACTGTCAATCTGGAGTAAATCCACTGAAGGCAGTGGAGTAACTGCAGGCATCAGTGTAACAGAGATCAGAATCTCGCTGTTCCAGGCTGAAATCTGGTCCCAGGTACCTATGTGCTTCCCTGTTGACTTCAGTGATGCTGCACAAGCCTAAGATCAGAATATGAACCTGTGTGGTTGATGCACGTGTTGCTTGTAAATATTTTTAATGCAATACTTACGCACTTTCTGATGTGAGAAGGGTCTTCACAACATCATGGTTTATATTGGGACAACTACAACTTTTTTCACCTTAAGTGCTTTCCTAGATTTACAGACAGTATATACAGATTTCATGCAATATATATTGTGTTATTTCATCCGATACAGATATATAAAACTGTCCGGGTTGAGAGAGAGAGAGAGAGAGAGAGAGAGAGAGAGTCTCCAGCTGTATTTATAGTGGATAGTAAATTTATAG